CTAACCAGCATTATGTAGTTTGTTTATTCAGCTCAGGCAGGGCATGTCGGGTTCACTTTTATTTTGTGCGCATGCGCCATAGAGCAGTTGTTATGGTTACTCGTTTTTTTAATAATAAACAAGCGACATTCAAGGAGGAAGGACGAGGATGAAGAGAGCTGCTATAAAGCAAATTTCCTCTGTACCACTGAAGCACCCACCGTTCCTTAGCCTTAGTTCCTTAGTTCCTTCCCTTCAATAACAAGGGAAGAAACAACAGAGAAGGCAAAAGGTGCTGCCGTACTGGCTAATACGAAGCTGGCAAATAAATGGGCTCTTCGTACTCTTCAAAGTTAAGTATCTTTTAGGAAGTCTATGTCAGAGGAAAAAGTTCCTGAAGATCTTCTAGCATGTGACAACTCCAAAGTAGTTTGCTATTGGCTTTGTCACTTTTTAAGTGAGACTAGAAAGGAAATGGAGAGCCATACCCCCTGCCACTATAGCTGAGAAGTCTCTTAGCTGCGTATCAGAGAATATTGCAAGAGAATAGGCTAGACTACCATCTGTTTAGCAAGAATGATTTCAGGATTAGAGGTCTACAAATAACAATAGACTCTGTGTGTGTTACTTTAAGAAAGGAAGGGGTTCATACTAATTCCAGCGGCCCCACTAAATCACTATGATAGCTAAATTTTCAGCCAGGTCACAGGAATCAAGTTCAAAAGGACTACAGAAATATGAACACACTTCCACCAAACTTATAAAGGAGACTCAATTGGCAATAAAAGAAGAAAAATTTAAATAAACGACAAAATCAAGAAATTAGATGATTTGAAAAATGCACTACAAACTTGGAATGTTCAAAACTGTACAATAAAATACAAATTTACATGTATGCATAAGTTTTAATTCACAATCATTCATTATGCCTTATATTGCACATTAAAAAAATCAACAATGTAATATACGTGTACATGTAGTTGTTATGAGCAACCGATGGGGAAAATTGATAAGTCACAATAATAGTTAATAATTAATGTAGTTATACTAATAATACACTCACCACTGATGTATCAATAAAATTAAGAATATATACATTGTTACTCTCTTCATTAGCAGTGTCACCTCCAAATAATATAGCACTGGAATTATTAATTGATGTTAAAGTGAATTCATCAATAGGAGGTGGTCTGTGTCCAGTGACAGTCGGTGGTATCCATTGTCCTAAAAATATCAATAATAATAATTAGTGTGAATGGAATGCATTGGATGGAGCAAACTAGTTGATATTTCTTTGATCATATTATCAAATAATTAGGAGTGACAACCATGAACAAACAAGCAAGCAATTCTCAATGCAACCAGTCTGAGTGGAGAACCACCAAATAACAATACTTCATTATTGGGGCGAGCATGAGCGAGACCCACACTAATCTGTCTAGGTCTATTTGCGTTACGTCTTGTTTATGAACGGAAGAATACGAAAATTAAATTAGTATACTATTATTGATAAATTTGGACCACGTGGGAAAAATTAATCTAGAGGGTGTGGTCAAAAAGGAGCAAGATGGCGGAAATTTTAACATGACAAACTCAGATTGAGTTTCTAACAGTTGATAAGAGAGAGAGCCGGGCTGTCTAAAGCATCTCTAAAGGCTGAAGAACTTAGAAGCAGTTTGATTTAAGTCTCCTCTGATTAGTCTTCTCATTGACAGAATTAAAATTGTGAGAGAAGCTTGATTAGAAGTTTAGCCGGCTTGTCACTTTTTCTCAAAGTATTAGGACAGTTCATTCTTGTCACTTTTACTAGGTCATTTTGGTCAATGGTGTTAAATAGTGGGTTTGCTCTGTTCAGACCCTGCCGGACTATGAGGATGGGGTCTGAATATGCATGCACTTAAGAGCTGGATTGATTTTATTTCAGTAGTTTTATTTCAAAAAAATGTTAATTGATGGAAGCTTGATTAAAAGTTTAGCTTGGCACATTTTTTTCAAAGTGACAGGATAGTTCATCCTTGTCTCTTTTACTGGGTTATTTTAGTTGTGTTAACTGGTGTGTTTGCTCTGTTCAGACCCCGGCCATGAGGCCGGGGTCTGAATATGCATGCAGGCTAAGAGCTGGATTTATTATAATTTTAATCTTCTTATCAAACAATGTGAATTGATGGCTCGCCCCCTCAATGTTTACATTCACCTAGTATTAATATAAACTGTATGTGCTCTGACCTGTTGAGAGTTTATAGAAATGGATCTCATTACATCGTTGATAACCAGAAACTAATCTTTCCCCACTGTACTGGGCACCAGGTTGTTTGGGTGTATTATTAAAAGATGGTCCACGTCCTCCAATTACTACAAGATAGTCCTCACCGTTCACTTTTATTGCTATCATGTCACAGTGGTGCTTCATCCTAGGACCATGATGAGATGTAGTAGGAGAGAGTTCCTTCCAATTAAAGGTATCAATATTAAAACTGAATAAAATAAAATATAATGTTCATCAGCAACTATTATGTTTACCTGTATAAACTATTATGATAACAGTCATCATGACCACACCATCCTCCGAAATAAAATATTTCCCTTCCAATGGCAGCAGCTGCATAGCCCCTAACACCCAGTGGAGGGTTACCAGTGGTGGGTTTCTGCTCCCACCTACCAGTCCTTAGGTGACACACCTCCATCAGAGAACACATTGATTTCTTCTTTTCATTATCATGTACTTCAGGGAGACCAGGCTGGTCCCCACCCCACATGTACAGGTAGTCTCCTACCCGTACAGTGGAGTGTCCACTCCTCTCCGCTGGTTGATAGTCTATAGATAACAAGAGGTAACAGTAACTGAATGATACACTAATAGTAACAACACACGAGTCATAATCAAGTATAAACAAAATACTGACCTGGTGCTTTGGCTGCCATTTGTTTGGAAACTTTGGAGGTAACGCCCTTATTTATTTCAAATTATTTGCGCGCGCCCTTCTAGCTATATGACGCATAAATTTTGTTACGTCATCATATCAATGTGCAAAAACTTTTTCAAGTGCATGTACATGTATTAATACAATTATTATTTTTTAAGTCAATGAAAGAATGATTGAATTGTAATACATGTAATTATGCACATGCATTAATTAACAGCATTTTGTAGTTATGATACATTCAAGTAACTTAACAATTAATAATCATCATTATTATTGTTGTTCAGTATTATTATTATAATAATATTGTTCCTTCAGTTTCTTTATGTAGTATAATATCAACAGCAAGTACAGCCATTGTGGTAGACCTGACCACATCTCTATCCATTACATTCCTATCATTGGTTCCTCTGTATAACTGTATGTGACCATTAAACAGTCTGTATCCACAATACTCAAGCATTGGACAAAGAGTAGGATCAGCCCATGCTCCTTTATCACAGAAACTGTGGAGACAGGACACAGCTGGAGTGCATTTAAACTGTACATGTATTGTTGAGGAATAGAGTAATAGAGTATTATTAGTTATTATTATAATACTCTACTTGTCTTAGTAGCTCTTGTCTTTGTCTTGATGATAGAGCTACTGCTTTAGTTAACATATCAACATTGAAACCTACCACAAAAGTAGTTAATGAGATTCGACTGTAATAATCAATACTATGACTGAATCACCTCAAAACATTCTACAATGAGGACATCAATATGTACCCATTGCATCAGAAAATGCAACTGATAAAAATTAGGGTTGCAATTTCGGCCGGAGCCATTTTTTGGAAAGAAGCAATATTCAGAAACTGACCTATACATGTATGCATAGCTCAAAAATTTCAGTCAGAATTAGCTTAAACTTCCTACATTACATAAGTACATCAATACGCATCACAAAAAGTAAAAAATTGGGGGCGATTTTGGAGCCATTTTGCAGAAAAAAAAAGCATGAGCTATAGTACAGGAATTTTCAGAAATCGGCCTATTTTTTAAATAGTCATAACTTTAAAATAATAAGTCAAAATTCACTCAAACTTCTCCCACAGCAAAAGTAATTAATATGGTTCCATTGTAAGGCTTACTCTGTATTGCTTCAGTTAATAGGAGGAGTGCTTGTATCTCCTTGCTCCTCTCACTCATATTGGTTTTGTTAAGAAACTTAATGACACTATCAACTTCACTACTGGTATACTGAGCACCTGCACTGGGATCCATTAGACCGCCTTTATCACACTATAATAATAATAAATGAATTATACTGTTAAAAGACAGTACATTGTAATACTATTGAACTACATGTACCATAAATTAATAGATAGCTCTCCCTCTCTGTCTCTCCCTCCTTTCTAAACTTCATTAACTATTGTAAGAGGAAACAAAACTTTATTAATATAGCCACACTGATGCAAATATTACACATGATAGCAAAGTACAGTACATAGCAAAGTACAGTATCTGTCATTCAGCCACTGCCATGCAGATTTTTTGTTCCCAAGAAAGAAAAGTGGTGGTTTTTGAAGCATCTTATAACCACATGCACACATGCAGACATTTATAATTATTTTAAAAAATTCCAGCACAACTAAAAACTTAGCTATTCCATTGGCAACAGTAAAGAAAGAAAGGAAATTCAAAGTAGCCCTACCAGCAGGCATTGATAAAGCAGCAAGTTATTTGAAGGCTTCCATTATCAAAAGTGATGATAATAAAGAGGAGGGTAGAGTTGTTATAGTTAATGATAACAACACAGCCATCGTATCATGCACACCTCAAAGTATTGGTGGATATGAACTATATTAGTGACTACTAAAAACTAGGTTTACCAAAATTATACTCCATACATGTACAATACACTCTTTGCTGACAATATGCTGCAGTATACAGTGAATGGCTTACACTATCAATTATATCTCTCATTCCATTATTAGCAGTAGCTGTATTAACCAATATTGACTGTAGTGATGATTGGAGGAGAGGGTTACTATATATGACTTCCATCAGTGGCTCTACTTCACTCACCATTTCTACAAACAATAATACATCAAATACATGAAATGGTGACAATGACACAATGACCAATCAGCCAGTACTTTAGACTTGAGTTAAAGCCACAGTAAATACAGGATGAGAGTTGTGGTTGAGAAAGTCATTATATTATGATAGCTTTCTTTTACACTACATGCATGTGTAGCCTAGCCTGTCGCTGCCACACACCATTGCTGAAATATGGAACTTTTTTATTTTACTTCTGTCAGCTAGTGGCTATACTACTTACATGTTTGCTATTATTACAGAGTGCTAAGTCAACTGCATGTTTGTTCAGTAATTATTTGCATTGTAATGCTAAGTCTACACAATAACTGTACAATTTTATACATAATAATAATATTGATAGTCATGCAGTGCCCCACACCCAATGACTTGACTGCATAGTGACTATAAGCAGGAGGGCTGATCTACACAGCTTGCCTGAATCAGCAATATTGCCCAAAATGAATGAATTAAGTCTGATATTAGTACTGACTGGTACAGTCTTGAGTCCTGACAAATATCATTGCTAATTATGCTTCTTGCTCTGGCCTGAACCAGTGAAATTTTTTATAATTGTGTCGTGGCCACGATGATTTCATTGAATCATGACTGATTGCCCAAAATGCACAATTCTGAACTAATTTTAGGACTGATTCAGACTAGCAGGCTCCAAACTTCAGGGTGTGTAGCAGTATAAATATCAGACCCAGCAGGAGTGAGACTATTTTTTATGCATACCAAATGTGTACATTTACATGTAATAAAATACCTCTATAAGTTAATCCTTGGAAATCTGATTGTTTGTACAGTTTGACTGGTGATGGAGACAATGACTCTCTGATACTGCTGTTGGGTGACTCACTCCCAGTAGGTGAAGGAGACTCTAGCCTGCTGTTAGACATCACAGCCTGAGATGCTGAATCAGTAGAAGGAAAGCAAGAATCCTCACTGGCAGGCTCAGTGTCAGTATAAGCGACAAATTCCACCATTTCCACAAGAGACATTTTTATGGCCTAAAGTATTGAGAAAGATGCTATCTTTACACACGGAGCAGGTATTTACTTCAGTTTTAAAACAGTCACACTGACTCCTTTGCTTTAGTTTAGGTGTGGCTCAAATCTGCTTAGCTAGCCATAGATAATAGTGTAAATGAATAACTTAATAGAGTGAATTCATTTACTCTATAATTATCTGAGTTAGCTGGCTAAAATATCTGCTAATAAACCATTGTGCAGTCCTTTCATCTTTATGGCATTATAATGACAACTTGCAATTCACTGTACATTATTACGACACATGAGCAATATAAAATACAATACTTCTTAAAAATTTAAAATTAATAAAATAAAAAGAATTCACAGACAATTTTTTAATGCTGTGGACATGTTGTGTTCAATGAGATTCTCTTCTATCCTCAGGTTGAACAGGTTGAGATGCTTCCCATTCTTTTCTCCTTTCTTGTAGTTTCTCTTGATACTGGTCCAGAGGTATTATACTAGTAGACCAATCATTATTACTAGTATATCCTATACAGTAACACAATATTATTATAATCAATTATTTGAGTTAGTTAATAAGCAAATCTACATGTACATGTACTCACTGAGTTCAATAACTGCTGGATCACTTATGATTGTTGAAAAGTTCCTCTTTCCTCCAAACACAATTATCCAGTTAGTGGTTGGAGTCACACTCCAAACTGAGAGATAATGAGAATATTTCTCAGTGACATTGTCTGGTATATTAACCTATAATAAAAAAGAAGGAACGAGTTAATTTTATTATCATTAATTTTCTTTTACATGTATTTTCTTCAATCAACACTTGAAAAATACATGTACCATACATGTAGTTATATGTGTACGTACCAGCTCCTTCCATGATTTATTGTTAATATCAAATATCCAAACATCATTACATTCATCGGCACAATTTCCACCCACCACTAGTAGGTGTGGTCCCGAGCTAGCGTTAATCAATACACTGGAATGACACCATCTTTTCTTAGGCCATTGTGCTGATGCTCCAGGATCAAATTTAAGTAACCTTGAACAATTCTATTATCAAAAAAACAAATAACTTGGATGTAGATGTACATGCATAAATAAATATTGATACAAAAAATACAATAAAAATAATTAACAATTGTAATTATACTTGATGATACTCACCACTGATGTATCAGTAAAGTCAAGAATATACACAGTGCTACTGTATCCAGAGAGAATGTTACCTCCAAATAATATAGCACTGGAATTATTAATTGATGTTAAAGTGAAGTGATCAATAGTTGGTGGTCTGTCTCCAGTGACAGTCGGCGAAATCCACTCTCCTAAAAATAACAATAATTAGTAGTGACAACCATGAACAAACAAGCAAGCAATTCTCAATGCAACCAGTCTGAGTAGAGAACTACCAAATAACAATACTTCATTATATTAATATAAACTGTATGTGCTCTGACCTGTTGAGAGTTTATAGAAATGGATCTCATTGCATTGTTCATAGACATTCACCCTGTACTTGGCACCAGGTTGTTTGGGGGCACTATTAGGTGATAGTCCAGCTCCTCCGATTACTACAAGATAGTCCTCACCGTTCACTTTTATTGTTATCATGTCACAGTAGGCCTTCATTATAGGACCATGATGAGATGTAGTAGGAGACAGTTCCTTCCAATTAAAGGTATCAACATTAAAACTGTATAAAATAATAATAAT